TTCGTTTTGAATGCATGCATGACATAGAGATCGACATTTAAAAATAAAATAGCATATCGATATTGTTACGAGCTTAGGGTTCGTGACAGTAAAAACTGCCGATTGAATTACCAGAATTGACACTTTAATTACCGAACACCAATTAAAACTTAAAACACACTAATAATTAATCACAATTAAAACTTTAGTTCACTTTATTTCGCTCCGAAGTCTTCGCTTGTGTCACTAATTGAATACTTCTCCGGTCGCAGCTCTAAACGGCTTTATATAGGCTTTTTCCAACGAAACATCTAGAATATTCCAGCAAATACCGGTCCCGACGGACTAGGTGTAGAAAGTTCGAGTGTGTAGTTTTCCAAAAAGCTTAGTTCTTCTATTCGTTACTAGATGGCGCTAGTAGGAGAGTTCTAGAAAGATCTTGACGCTCCTATTTCCGCTCCTTGATACTAGATGGCGCTAATAATCATCCGCTATATATAGCGCTATGTATACCGCGCATAAATTATGGCGCGCAACAATATATATTAGCAGCGAAAAAGAATCTATTTTTCATTACGACCCGTAGGTGTCTTGACAAATAAGTAGATTAATAATTAGTTTAAACTTTAAAGTAGGTACATGGGCACTAGTGATGCTTTGCCAATTTTAGACTTGAAGTTATGTCTCCATTTTTATAGGAGAGGCCTATGAACGGAAGTGATCTTTAGCATCGTTGAGATTGCACTCGCTATTTCTTTAGACTTTAAATGTATTTCAGTAAAGATTTATTTTATTCCTAGCCGGCCAGGCAGACGCTGTTCTGCTCTTTCTGAATCAAGGTGGCGCGACGAGTTTCACTCTGGACTTTCAGGATAAATATAAAATTTATTAAAACTCCTCCACATCACCACGTATAGGGTGCAGATTTAATGATTTTTCTTTTTCGGCACTAAATCAACATATATTGTGATTATGGATCATTTTAGTGAATAAAAACGAATTTTATTAATTATTTAAAGAGTCATCTATCGGATCCTAACACAGTGAATCATCGTCTCGATGAAACAAATATATGTATATTATGCGGATATGACCTCAATCGTTTGAATAGTTCAAAAGTTAAACCTTTTCAAAAATATATAAATCTTTATTTTGTGTTTAATTTTATTTCCCATTTTCCTAAGAAATTCAAATCGTTTCTCCAAAGCCACGAATTCTGAAATAAAATCAGTTTTGCATTCATTAATTTTTACTCTTTTATTTTTATCAAATAACGTGGGATTTCGTGGTCTTTAAACTCCCATTACCTACATGGAATAACTTGAGAGCAAAAGAAGAGAAGTTCGTCAGCCTATTATCATGCCAATAGAAAAGGAACATATTCAACTAAAAGCCTCTTAATCATAATTCTCTTTACACAGCATCCACTGCAACCACAGAGCAATTAGACTAAAAATTCTATGACCAACAATATCCAGTCGTTTGATGTCTAATATTACATTGAAAATTCTTTCATCAAACGTGGCGATTGGGGCAAAACATCCAAATATTAAAACGTTTTTGTAACTCCACCACAGCACAATCTGATTGAGAAAAAAAATCACTAAATTGCCTTGACGGGTCCAGATTTAGTGATTTTTTTTTCTGGAAACCTCTATCTACCTGTCCATATATTATATCGTGAATTAGTTTTTTTTTTTAATTAATAGCAATGCTATTATATTACTAATATTTCCGTAAACTTGGAGTAGGTTAGATTAAATAGTGTTAGAATTCGTTTACGACAGTAGTCGAATGGTGGATAGATAGACTTAGGTCGTGGGTTCAAACCCCACCCGGTATTAGTTGATTTTTCGAATTTCTCATGAAATGTTTAGACATTTATTAATTTGGTTGGTCTTTCTATGGCTATGTTAATTCAAGCTCAAAATGTGCCTACTCTGTTACGTTGTTCTAAGATCTAAAGTAACGTTTAATAAATAACAATAGGCTAATAGGTAATTGCGAGACTTGCGAGACTCTTGCTGCAAGACCTAGACCAAGAACAAGACTGAGAGCGCAATACCAAGACCAAGAACAAGACCAGGTGTATTGGCGCAAGACCAAGACCAAGACTGGCTAAGTCTCGTCTTGTTCTTGCATTTGGGCAACACTAATTCCGATCTATCCCCTGTACGATGCCTACCATAGACTAATAAAAAACATTTAATTAATACCCACATTTTTCAAAATACCTATACCTGCTCAGTAGATAAAAGTTTAAGGAGTTTAAAAATAATATATACCTTGACTGTCACTTTTGAACCTAATTTCATTATTAATTGAAAGCTCAATTTAGATCTCATTATTACTGGAAATATGTAGTACAGTAAAATTCTTTAATCGTAAAAATTAAGAAAATGACGAGTAAATTTTAATTATTTTAAATTTTTACCACTTTTTTAATCATATTCTTGCATTGTAATCCGAATTTGAGCTACATTCAAAATTTCCAGTTTGCAAATCATCGGAATGTTAGTTTAAAATCAATTACTAAATTCCACTCGGAACCACAGATTGACAGACAAACAACCCTAGTAACACATCAAAGCAGTATAACGGCCGACTTACAGCATCTCTGTATTGTTTTCGCATTTTGAGTTAGTTCTACAGTAGCATTAAAAATGTTTTTACGGCTACTGTAATGCTTATTTGGGCACAAATTATATGGCTTTAGATCCTAAATCTGTTCACAATAGTTATTTAATTGCATTTTAGGCACATTATACTAGCATTATTGTAGCCAAAGATGGTATCAATCGCATTACAGAAGTATTATACCAATAATATTATTGATAATGAAGATGTTAATTGCATTACAAAAGCATTAGACTAGCATTAAAATGTAGTAAAAGGAGGATTGGAGCTATTTAAGTGTTCTTTGTGTTAACAGTTAGAACTTAAATAAACCCTACATCATTACAAAAACATCTCTATTGCGCAGTACTAAATGTTATAACACAATTATTTATAACGTAGTAATTTAACTACTTCATTAGTTTCATAGTATATGGGCGTACAAAGACGATCAAAACTAATATAAAACAAAATTTATAAAGTTTTTGACACTTGTTATTTCATGTCTTCAAATATTACTGCGCAATATAGTTTACTGTAAATGTCTATATAAGTTTTATTGAATTTTTTTAGGCGCCTTCGATATTTTATGGTTTTGATATAAAATGTTATAAAAAGATATGTGTGAAATAACCAAAACAATTGTGTGTTCGTAGTATAGAACGAATTTTGGACAATTAACATATTAAAGTTTCAGTATTAAATTATGTTATATCATTATTGTATAGGTGTATATTGCTTTCATAAATAGGTCTGAATTATAATATTTTTGGTTATAAAATATTTACAAAACAGTGTCGGTTTGTAGTAGCCCGATGAGCCTTTTAAAGGTTAATTAATGCCGCCAGCAGTATAAATACTCACACGTGCCACAGAGAGTATCTGATGAACTACTGCAGCGCCATTGAATGTAAAGTAGTTCTATATGCGTTCACTAGTATAAAGACTTGATGTAGACTTAAATAGTGCCATTACTTCAACGCTACGCTAAAAACATATATGATCAACAAAACAGTAAAATGAATGTAAATACATCTTTACGCATTACAATAACTCACGTGTATTTGATTAAAGAACTGTTAGCTGCACAACAGCACTCAGTTGATATTTAAAAACGCAAGCATTACATTGACTCGCATTTATGCTGTTCAGCGGTACTAGGCTCTTACTTACAACTTAAATGCTATTACAAAACAAGGGGTACTAAAAACAGCTCAAAGCTGTATAGCGATATTAAGTGGAATTATAATGGTTCAAGTTTATGCTACTAAACAGCATTAAACATTTATTTACTACTTAAAAATGCTATTGTAGATTCAAATGCACTAAAAATAGCTGAAAGCTGTACAGCTGCATTGTGGTTTGCTAAACTAAAACTAAAGGCTTTACAATAGCATATTGATATGCCATTAACCAAGCGTTATACAGGGTAAAGAATAAAAATGATTTTTAAATTGCAATGCAAAGCGTCAATATGCTCGATGAACTTATATAAGAGTTTATACGGATCTTAAGTTCTACGAATAGTAAACTTATACTATTCGTTTGTTAAAATGCTTCCTGTGTTACTTGGGAAGAAAGTGACTTAATAAAAACGTTGTAAAAACGAGTGAGCCTTACAGTAGTCGCATAATATGATGTGTAACATCTAAAATCTAATCAAGGAGTATAGTAATATACGAGTATAAGGAAAATCTCATCATCAATAAGTTGTATTTCGTAAAAGTCAAAGTAGATAGTATCGACGGCGAGACCCTTTCTACGCTCCAGGGCGCAAGTAGTATTCTGTAGATTCTACTAGTTAGTCTGTGGTAGTAGCAGGGTTGCCAACCGTACGAGGTTCCTCGTACAAATACGAGATTTGTGGTCTTCCGTACGAGGTACGAGGACACTATCAACCTCGTACAATTATGTACGAGATCTTGATAATATGGCTCTAACATTTTGCACCACTATTATAAAATAGTAAAAACTAGTACCATCTATCAGAACTTGAAGGAACTTCTTACACCAAAAATTTAATTGCCGCATTTACGCGATGATTGTCTATGGTAGCCTAAATCAGACTTGGCTGTATCGGCTTAGCTCCCTTTGCCTGTCCCAAATAGGGACGAAAGGAATAAAAAAATTATGTAGCTCATAGACTTTGTATGTACCCGTCAACCGGGTAACGGAAATCCCCGACCAAAACATTTCGTTCTTCGCATTAGTCGTCTATGTCACACATAGCGCAACTTTCTCTGTTCTTTACGTGTTCCATTCGTTGCATGCCGGCCGTGTTTAGTTGTGCTACAATATTACGTGGAGCTAATTGAAGTTTTTGTAAAAAAAGAAGATTTTATTGTTAAATACCTAGTCTTTACGTTGTTTGGACCATTGTTTAGTGGTATAATAGAAGTATCGTAATGAGTGATAATGACGTAAACAGTGACCGTTCGCCTACTTTGACTCCGCCTAGAAAATTACCCAAAAAAGGTGCTTGGACAAGAAAAAAGGAAGGTAACGCATTATCGCAACATCGTGTACAAAATTTTAGACAGCAATGGTTAAACGACCCGACTTTTAAAGACTGGCTTTTGCCAGACACCAATGATTTAATAAAAGCTAAATGTGTATATTGCCCGGGAACATCAATGGTAGCTGAACTATCCAATTTAAAAACTCATGCCTCTACCAAGAAACACCTAGGCAACAAACCCGGATCCAGTGGAAAAACACAAACATTAACATCGCTTGGATTCCAAAGAGGTATAACTCCACAAAATAGAGAAAAAGCTCGTGCAGAAATTAAACTTTCTGCTTTTTTTGCGGAGCACAATATTGCATTCTCGGTTGCTGACCATTTGACAGATTTATTAAAAGAAGTTGTGACGGATTCTAAATTAATCAAGGAAATTGAACTTAAACGAACCAAAATTACAGGTGTGATAAAGAACGTTCTCGGAGAAGGTCATAAGGCAGATTTAGCCCAAAAACTACAAAAAAATCAGTTTTCGGTGATGACGGACGAGACGACCGATGTTTCTACGGTCAAAACTGCTTGCGTTGTGGTACGCTATTTTGATCAAGAAGCTCAAAAGATATGTAGCGCATTTTGGGAGCTGTACAAAGTTTTAAGGAAACACCTGATGCTGTTGATATTCCTACTGCCAATGCCGAGAATTTATACAGAGCTCTTATTGATTCATTTACTAACCGTAATGTTCCATTAACAAATGTGATCGGCTTTGGCTCAGATGGGTGTAATGTCATGATGGGTGATAACGACTCAGTGAAAACAAGGTTATTACGCGATTTTCCAGGAATCATAATCACGAAGTGCGTTTGTCATTCGGCCCATTTGTGTGCCAGTGAAGCCTGTAAACAGCTGCCTGAAGGTGTAGAACAACTGGCTAGAGATATCTACAACTTTTTTTAAACATAGTGATAAACGGCTATTTGATTTTCGTAACTTCCAGTCGTTTGCTGCAGTGGAGCCTCACAAAATACTGAAACCATCACAGACAAGATGGCTTTCCTTATTATCAGTGGTTGAAAGGATATTAGAGCAATGGGAAGCCCTACGTCTTTTTTTTATCGATTTTACGACAAATCGTTCACATAGAGCAAGAGCCGATGTAAGAAATCGAGCAGTATTTATTCTCGAAAAACTCAGCAACCCATTCTACAAACTTTATTTCTGTTTCCTTGAATGGTCGCTCCCTTTATTCAATAAGTTCAATCTGGAATTTCAAAGCGAGAAAGTAGTTGTTCACAATCTACATGAGAAAATTCGTACACTCTACCAGGAAATCCTATTGCGTTATTTACAACGCGAATATGTCATGAGGCCAAATCTTGGTGAAATAAACCCTGAAAGTCAGCGACATCAGCTCCATGACAATGCACTGTATCTTGGTGTCAAAGTGTATGAGCTCTTGAAACATCCAGATGTGATCATACAGCCCACAGATATCGCTCAGTTCTTCTCATGCTGCAAAAATTTCTACAAAGTTGCAGCCATCGAAATTAAAAAACGATATAACATGGAAGATCCTGTCTTGTCAAAGCTACAAGTTTTTGAGCCTGCATCTGCACTCTCCTACAATTTTAGGAGCAATTTCCCTACACTTATGCCTCTTATGGAAGTGGTCCCCCGAATAATCGCAACAGCTGATCATGCAAAGAAACAAATAATCGACAATCAATGGAGGAGTTTGCCAAATGCACAAGCTCGTCATCCTAAAGGGTTGAATGAAATTAGTGAGCCAGATAAGTTTTGGGCTCAATTACTGAAAACTGAAGACTTTTCCGAGCTAGCTCATTTTGCCCTATCTACACTGTCCCTACCCCATGCGAATGCTGACTGCGAGCGGGTTTTTAGTAAAATCAATTTAATAAAGACAGAAATACGAAACCGGCTAACTGTGGAAACAGTGAACGGCACACTTCTTGCTGCAGAGAGCGTAAAGGGTTCAACTCGTACTGGAAACTGCGTCAATTTTGAGCCCACAAAAGAAATGTATAGTCGCATGACAAAAGATAAAATATACGGCAGAAAAAACGATGACAGTGAGGATGTTCCTGACATAATATTTGGAGAGGAGATGTAAACTAAGTTACCTTTACCTTTTTGTTACATTTTAATTGTCGTAATAATATAGCCACATTTAGTTTTTTTTTTTGTGATTTTACTTGAGTAATAATAAAGGTTTTTTAAATACTTATAAACTTGCAATAGTTTATTTCATTGAGAAAAAGTCCTAAATCCAGTAGTTCAATATACATTAATTTTGGTTTAGCACGTTTTCGATGCATAGTAAATGTACGAGGTTTGAAAGTCAAAATAGTAGACGCGAGATTTTTAGCTGCCTAAGTACGAGGAAATATTTTTTACTGTTGGCAACCCTGGGTAGTAGTAGGATCCAGTATATTATTCTAAGTCTATCAGTAAGACCGTTACTCGCGCGGGAGATTTGTTTGAGAATTTGACCACTGACGGATTGTTAGGACTCCTGTTTTATCGTTTAAATAATTGTTGAATGTTATGTTTTGGTAGTTTGATAGGAATTTTTACATTGGCACCTTGAACAGTATTTTGGCTTATTCAATGTAGGAGGAGGCTAAAATGCTGGTTAAACTAGCAGACCTGATTCTGTGTAGCGAATAGGTGTGTTTGTTTATAGTCGAGCGACATAAATATTGTCACTATAAAACATATTATTTTTAATTTCGTCATTCCATTGTAGTGATTAATTAAATGTAGTCTGAACGGAACGATGTGGTTGGTTGCTCAGCGACAAGGTCATTTATAATAATTATAATTGAAAAAAATGGTTTGAAGTGGACGTTGATAAGTAAAAGCGCTGCGATTTTGTTAATATTTACATTGTAAAAAGATCTAGTGGATTCAAAGTAAAACCACAGTAAAACTGAACGCTCAACCTACCTACCGAAAAGTCCAGAAAAAGCTCCATCAATCAAACAAAATATAATAAAAGGTTTCTGTTTTAGTAGTAAATTTTCAACTGGTAAAAACGCACAAGTTAAGTAATAATATTAACGTTTTTCGATTCGGTCTAAGTCGGAGTAATTTATGTATTTTTGTTATAACAACCACTTACCACAACCTTAATCACAGATTAAATAATGTTACCAGTAAAACCACCTTTGACTAAGCGGACGTGAAGGGAAATCTTTAGTTGAAGTTGTTTGCAATAAAGGATAAATAAATAAATGATCTTAAATTTTTTGATTGAAAATGGTGGGGAACGTAGGAAATTAAAATTGAAATCATAGCTTAGGTACACTTTTGATTCCTGAGTTCAAACAAATATTTCTTAGTTAACAAAGACTTCTATATTAATTAAATACTTAGTGTGCTACTTAATACTTGTGGGCAGCATATAACCATAACAAAATGAACTTAAAAATCCAGGGTGGCGGTCATTATTTGGATGTTTTGCCGTAATCGTCACGTTTGATGACATAATTTGTAATATAATATTAGATACCAAACTACTGGATATTGTTGTAGTCTAATTATTAGTCTAATTTCTCTATGGTTGTTGTGGATGCTGTGTTAACAGAACTATGTTTAAGAGGCTTTAGTTGAATAGATTTGTTTTCTATCGGAATGATAATAAATCGACGAACTAGTTATTCCGCGTAGGTAATATGAGCTCAAGGACCACAAAATCCCACGTTATTTGCAGTGGCGAAGCTTCCATTAAAGCCGAAAAGCCGGGCTTGCCTATTAATAAGGCTATTAAACCTGAATCAATCAATAATATCAACTAATAAAATAACTCGTAAAATGTTTCAAACTATTTCAAATTTCCCGCGCACTCCACTGTTCGACACATGTCGACCGATGACCTCGTATTGCCTTAGCGATACTGCTGCTGTCATAAAAAATGAGTTTTAATAGAGCTAATAGTTGTCGCCCTCGCTCGCATGGGCTTTTTACGGGGCTTTCGAGAAGACGATCGCTCTCTTTCTAACCTATGGCAAAATATTTTATAATGAAATATAACTACGATTGTATATATAGCAATTAGTGTAGAGATTTAAAGCCAGGCTTTTGGGAATAAATTTGTTATAAGCGGATGCGCGCGGGCAATACGTTTGCAAGTTCATTTCACGTTTCAATGTTTATTCGTTTGATGTTTACTGTGTGTGCTTATCTTAAGCGATCTAATATTACGAGCTCAAAATTTATGCTTTTTTAAAGATTTTTAATGAAAATGGAGGATAATAGTGTTCTTTGTGATGAATTGAAGTGTGTTAAAGTGATAATCGGAGAGGAAATCTTTAAACTTTGTTGAGATAATACACAAGGTTAAGAGTGTATTTCAGACTTATCAATTATCGCAAAAAAAAACAGTTATTAGTACAATTAAAACGTTCACCAACATTTTAGGTGGACGTAATTAAATCTTTCCATAAGAAAGCGAGACGATTCCACTTAACTTATCTTATCTTATCTCTTATCCATTAGAATGTAAATATATTTTTTTTAATTTTGTACATAGTTTGTTTGTACTTTGTTCGTGTTTTACTTTTGTTCATGTATTGTATTGGATGTAAATATTTTTTTTTCTTTCGCTTAAACAAACCCAAACGGCTTTCTTCAAAGCCACCGAAGCTATGCAATTGCTGATATGTAATACAATCTATCTAGCAGTGGTATGCCTTTTGTGTGCTTTGTTAAACACGTCCTTGACAGCACTGAATACGAATCTGAAGCGTGGAGACAGATCAAGATTGGTATATTTTTATAAAACTGCTAAAAACCACAATCTATATTTTTATCAATTTATATCTTGGGCTTGCCCTAGCTTGGAGCTCTAGCTTCGCCACTGGTTATTTTATAAAAATAAAAGAGTAAAAATCAATGAATGCAAACCTGATTTTATTTCAGAATTCACGGCTTTGAAGAAAGGACGGCGGACTGCGGTTTAAAATAATTTGTCAGTAAAATGAATTAAATATCCTCTAGACGCAGCCAACTAACACACATTCAAGGGCACGACAAGCCCACTCAGAGTGACCACCTCGGGTCACTCCCCTACTTTTAGCATGGGTTACCAAGCCACTGCTACCAACCCGCTCTCCACCATGAAAAGGCAGGATCCCGTTCAGGGAGAAGGAGTGGGGAAGCTAGGGCTCCAAGCTAGGGCAAGCCCAAGATATGGTTTTGTAGTTTTTAGCAGTTTTATAAAAATACATCAATATTGATCTGTCTCCACTCTTCAGTTTCATATTCAGTGCTGTCGAGGACGTGTTTAACAAAGCACAAAGAAGGCATACTACTGCTAGATAGATTATATCTTTGAAAAAAGCCGTTTAGGTTTGCTTGAGCGAAAGAAAAAGATATTTACGCACAATACTATACATGAACAAAGTACAAACTATGTACAAAATTAAAAAAAATTATTTATATTCTAAATTGAATGGTCTCTCTTTCTTAAGGAAAGATTTGATTACGTCCGCGTACCTTGTGTATTTTCTCAACAATGTTTAAAGATTTTACCTTTTCCTCGCCGATTAGCACTTTAACATATTTCAATTCATCACAAGGAATACTATTATCCCCCCTTTTCATAAAAAATCTTTGAAAAAGCATAAAAAAAGCACAGACACAACAAAAAAAACATAAACATTGAAATGTGTAGTGAACTTGCAAACATATCGCCCGCACGCCCGCGCACTGCAAAACAACTTCAGCAAG